ATGAGGAGGTTCATTACCATTGCAGCTGTGAGGTTCCAAAGAGATGGAACAGCAAGACAAGACACTCTGCTCCAGTACCGAAGAACACTGCCCAATCTTACATCTGTCAGCCAGTGCATAAGGGTCAACCTCCAGCAGTCCAGGCAGTACAATAACATCTTTTCCTACGCTGTTCCTGATGACTCGAATGAGCTGGTCTTTTGTAAGGATTTCCTTTCTTTTATGTTTTTTGCTGAATTTAACATGAATATCTGTATTTTTTACATATTGAATATGGTAAAGGATTAAGTTCATTCGAATAAAAGGTATTAATGATGATAATAATCATAATAATGATAGAAATAATCGTTTAGTAATCGATTACCCTTTTCGATTACAGTTCTATTTATCTTATCGAGAGCCTATGGCTGGGTAGCATCGGCAGAGTAGCTCTGATGTGGAGAGTTAACCTAAGACAGGGTGATGGTGTGAAGAATGAATGGCAGAGTGATGGTGTGGTAGAGGGATGACAGGATGGTTGAAAGGTAATGGCGAGGTAAAATAAAGACAGGGGGTGGTGTAGTGGAGGAATGGTAGTGATGGTTTTGTGCAGAGCCGGATTTAAACGTGGGCAAAGTGGGCAGTTACCCTGCGGCCGCCATATTTTGGGGGACCTCCACATATTGAATGGTATTTATGTTGAGAAGCCAATACACACAGACACTGTTTGTTGTTCATCAGTGTCGATGAAGACCATCCATGTCATCCAGTAGGGAGGGAAAAGGGGGGAGGGTGGGAATGGGTTACTGGCGGTGGGCGGGTAGGTCCGTGTACAGCAAAATGCCAGCTGGGTCAGTCCCGTGCGGCTTCCTCCCAGGAGGCAGGGCTGATATCAAACGCTTTCAGAGACGCTTTCAGGTTGTCCTCGAATTGTTTCTTCTGACCTCCCTAATTAGGATCTCTTCCCTTGTTTTAGTTGGCCGTAGAAGAGCCTTTTGGGCAGCCGATGATCTGACACGCGAGCAAAAGCTGGGACTGCATCAAGATGGTGTGTATGCTGGGAAGGTCTACATTGGCAAGTGCATTCGTGTCTGGAATCTTGTTCTGCCACTTGATATTCAGCAGTTTTCTGAGGCACGTTGTGTGGAAGTGATTCAGCTTCTTGGGATGACGTTCGTATACCGTCCAGATTTCACAGGCGTAGAGCAGCGTGGGGTGCACTACTGCCCTGTAGACCTTCAGCTTTGGTCTCCAGGCTGATGACTCTTCTATTACAGACACTAGCATGTAGTCGGCCGAAAGCAGCGCTAACTCTCGTGAGTCTGGCGTTCACTTCGTCATCGATGGTTGCGCTACATGACAATGTACTGCCGAAGTAGGTGAACCGATCCACCGCACCGAGTCTCTGACCGTTGACTGTGATATTGGTGTCAATGTAGGGCTACCCCTGGGGTAGGCTGATGTAGGCAGTAGTGAAGTTGTTCACACTGACCTGCATATTAGCTTCATATCCGGCATTGAGGGCACAACCATCAGAAAAGAGGAAATCTCTGATGATGTTTGTCATGACCCTGATTTTGGCTTGGAGCCTCCTGAGGCAAAACAGGTTGCCGTCTGTGCGGTACCTGAGGCCGATTCCAACATCGTCGGTCTCGCCGGTTTCGCCGTTGTTTTGGACCCTTGCGTGCATACCATCATGGAACTGGCGAACCAGGGAGATGAACTTCCGTGGGTATCCATACTTGGCCACGATCTTCTAAAGACCCTTTCTACTCATGATATCAAAGGTTTGGTCAAGACGACATAGGAATCCACGCTGGCTTTCATGCAGGCGTCCTTGATCAAGGTGTGATGTGAGGCTGTTAAGCAGAATCCCCCCCCCCCCCACACACACACATATATATAGAAAGAGATAGAGTGTTGATTATTTCCATTTTATCAAAGAAAACAGCTAACAGAAGGGAAGTATGAATTAACCATTCCTAATGGATAAATGTATCAAATGACTGAATATGAAAAGTAGTGTCGATATAATCGACAATATTATTATCATTATCAATATTACATTATTACTATTACTATCATCATTATTATTTATATCATTATTATTGTTATTACTATTATTATTATTATCATTATCAATCATTATTAATATTATTATTAACATCATTATCAATATTACAATTAACAGCATTATCATTACCATTATCATTAACATCATTATCATTGCCATTATTATCATTTTATCATTCATTGCTATTATCATAATGATAGTAGCCTCAACAATAATCATGATAATCATGAAGATAATCTAACAATAATTGATTTCATAACAATTTAGTTTATATTTATACTTCCTCCTGCAGCTGTTCAGTTCGGAGACGACACCTTCTACCTTGCCTGCTGTGGCGGCAACGTTGAGCTGGAGGTGCCGCTGCCTACGCCCCTTCGTCAGTGGATCCCCGTGTGCTTCGTCCTGGACCTCCTGCACCGTTCGATAAGGCTTCTTGTCGAGGGAAAAGTGAAGGAACACCGGCTGGCGACCTTGGCGGAGTCGCCTCTCGCTGTTCGTGGAGGGGGACTCCTCGTGCTGGGGCAGGATCAGGACTCGTATGGCGGCGGCTATATCGAGTCACAAAGCTTTAGTGGAATTTTGGTGGACCTCCTGCTGTTCGACCGCCTGTTATCCGACGACGACTTAATAGCATTTAGTGAGTGCAGAACGATGACGACCACAGCGTTACCCATCGTCAGCTTTTCCAATGTCGAGCAGGACTTTGAAGCTGTGAACGCTGAGGTGGAACGAATAGGCAAACAAGACTTTTGCGAGACCCATCGGAAAGACATCCTCATCTTCCCTGAGCTGAGGCCATTTGAGGAAGCCAAACGTCTTTGCAATATTTCCGGGGGCGAACTCGAGGTGCCAGAGAGCAAGGAGCAAGGTTGGTTACTCTTCAACAAGTGCATCCCATATGCTAAGTTTTGCAATACTGGATCCATGACTAATTTCTGGCTCGGAGTGAAGGGCAATGTAACCACCCAGACCTGGAATCACTACGTTACAGGCAAAGTTCTTACTTATACTGATAGCACGTTAAAGAAGTTCACTATCGAGGAGCCTGCCACCTGCGTTGCGTTCATAGGAGACAACAACACCAATGTAAACCAGCACGCCAACTGGAATTCAGTCGACTGCCAAGAGGAGCGGTGCCCGCTTTGTTACCTGGACGAAGTGGTGCTCTTGAAGGCACGAGGCCTCTGCAGTGAGTCCTTATTTGACCGTGACTATTTCCTGACGAACGATAACGGCGCAGTCACTTTCACTGGCGTCTATTACTCGATGATTACGCGTTATTTCACTTCCCAAGGCAATGATACGGGAGAGTCTGACTACGGCTATTGGGTTCTCTCCCGACTGGACAAACCCTCCGTGAGAGCCACCTTACAGATGGATTCTCCCACGCACTATCCACTCGGCCGTCAAGAGTGGGTCGTCGACAACGATGTGTGTGGCGTAGACAGCATGGTCATCATGATGACGGTGTGCAAGGAGCACCAGTTCTCCTGTGACGACGGTAACTGCGTGAGGATTCAGCAGCGCTGCGACATGGAAGTGGACTGCCCCGACGGCTCAGACGAGATGGGCTGCGACTTCCTCACCCTCGATCTCTCCTACAACAGCGACAACCCTCCGCCGCGCCTCGACGTCACAAAGCCAGTCGAAATCAAACTCCAGGTCGACATCTTCGCGATACGCAAAATCGACGTAGCTAACTTCCGATTCACCTGCGAGATCGAGATCACTATGGAATGGTTCGACTCCCGCCTAAGGTTCCGCCACCTCAATTACGCCAGCGAACTCAACTCCTTGACGGGGCTGGAGCGGCAGCCTTGGAGGCCCAAACTGGAGTTCCTGGGAGACAGGAACACGGCCAGCGACGTCCAGGAGCGGCGGGTCACCCTGAGCGTCCGACGCTACACCACGCCTCTACGCGACAACGACGAAGAAGTCCTGGAAAGTGGGTATCTCTCTCTCTCTCTCTCTCTCTCTCTCTCTCTCTTTCTCTTCTTATGTGTGTGTGTGTCTGTGTGTGTGTGTGTGTGTACATATATAATCATATATACTGCGTATACATAAGTACATATATGCATATGTGTTTGTATATGTGTGTGTATGTGTGTGTGCGTGTGTGTACGTGCGTGCGTGCGTGCGTCCGTTCATGTGTGTGTTAAAAATGCGTTAGCAATAAGCTATTCTCTGTTTAGGCGAGATATTTGAGGGCGGCGAGAATGGCCTTCTGATGGTGCAGAAACTGACAGTAACGACCCCGTGCCAGTTCAGCCTCGAAATGTTTCCCTTCGATCAACAGGTCTGTCATTTGGTGAGTCTCCCCCTAACTCACAATCATAATCCTATTTATTACCTACACGATATATGTTATCAGATGATTAGTATAGCAAAACACACTAATCATCATCGTTATTATAGTTTATTACTATTATTATTATTACTATTATCAATACCATTGCTGTCGTTATTATTGTTACTGTCATTATCATCATTGTTATTGTTTTATCATTATTACTATTATCATCATTATTTGTATTATCAATATTATTATCATTAATATCATTATATCACCATCACCATCACCATCATCATCATCATCATCATCATTATCATTATCATTATCATCATCATCATCATTATCATCATCATCATCATTATCATTATCATAAAGTTTTAATTCATGCTTTATCGCCTTCCCTCCCTTCCACTGCGCAGCGTATGAGTCTCACCGGAGTGACCAACCAGTACGTGAAGGTTCATCCAGGCGAAAAGGGCATCGCCTTCCGAGGGCGCAGAAGGCTGCTCGAATACCAGCTGGTGCGGGAAGGGATGGTCCAACATGATCAGGTTTGGCATGCAGTGGCCTGTGGATATTGTTGTAGGCTGATTTATAAAAATACTTTAAATAATTGTCCTTGTTCTTAGAATTTACATTATTACTTTATGATGTTGATGGCTAATCGCCATCCCCAAAGAATAATGACAATAGTGATGGAAAAACGACAGTCAAAAGTCGCCTGAAGAGATACAAACACTCAGAGCTAGCCTCTTTGCAGGGCAACTACAGCGGCGTGGAGGTGCAGCTGTACCTGCGCAACTTGTCCAACTTCTACATCACCTCCACTTACGTCCCGACCTTCATCATCGTCGTCATCGGCTACCTCGTGTACTTCTTCCCATTGGCCAACTTCAACGAGAGGGTGTTGGTGGGCCTCACCGGCCTACTTGTTGAGGCCACTTTCTTCTCGCAGGTAAGCACCTGTTGCTGCTGGCAGGCTCTGGTTGTCGTCTTTGGTTGCTACGGTCGTTAGGGCTTGTGACCCTGTGGTTGTTTTGGTTGAGGTTGTTGGTTTTGATTGATGTTCTTTTGTTGTTGTGATAGGGTAACTGTAGAGGTTGTCACTGTAGTTGTTGAGGTTTGTGGCCCTGAGATTGTAACAATAGAGTTACCAGTCTCTTGAATAGCCACATATACTCAGAGGTATTTTTTTAAAGACAACTACAGCGGCGTGATTGGTGAAGTTTGGGATCCTGTAATAGTTATGATTATTACCGTGGTTATTGAGTTTAGGGTCCTGTGATTGCTCTTGTTGTTGCTATGGTTGTTGAAGTTTCTGGCCATGTTATTGTTTAGGTTATTTTTGTTGATGGTGCTCTGTTTGTTATGGTTGGTGGTGTTGTTGCAACTGCAACAATAACTGCAAGTTGAACATTCGTCTGCCCCCCACCCCCATCCTTCTCTCTATCTATCTTGATTTATCTATCTCTCTATCCCTCTATATCTCTTTATATATCTACAGTAGCTTTCTATACACACGAACACACACACACAAATATATACATATATATATATATATATATATATATATATATATATATATATATATATATTTATATAAATATATATTTATATAAATGTATATATAAATATGTATATATATATGTGTGTGTGTGTGTGTGTTTATTTATATATACATGTATCTATCTATCTATCTATCTATTTATATATATATGTATGTATACACACATGTGTGTATGTGCGTGTGTCTCTGCCTGTGTGTGTGTCTGTGCCTGTGCGTGTGTCTCTGCCTGTGTGTGTGTGTGTGAGTGAGTGTACATGTATACACATAAGTGTGTGTGTGTTTACATATATACACATATGTGTGCATGTGTGTCCTAAAAGTCAATGTTGAGAAAAACGCCTTTGAAATCATTCACAAAGTAGTATTTTTTCAATGACTCATCAAATTGTGTTGCATTAATCTGTACCTTTTACAGAATATTTTCATAACAAAAAATATATAATATATTTTTTCCTCTAGTACTTTCAAACTACTGTATGGTTTAGAAATATAAATAAATATTCTTTCATTGCCTGTATGCTGAAAATGACATTAACATTAAGGAAAATACAAAATAGTAAAAACAGCCAACCTGAAGCTTTCCATTGCTATGTGTTCAAAATGCAATCATTATAGGCAATCAGTCCCGTATGCATATGTTACATGGATTTCGTAGCAATGCTCTTTGGCATCCCTAATGCACTAATGACATTAGCCTTATAACACATATAGAAACAAAAAATATATATATATATATATATATATATATATATATATATATATATATATATATATATATATATATATATATACACACATATATATATACACATCTGTGTGTGTGTGTGTGTGTGTGTGTGTGTGTGTGTGTGTGTGTGTGTGTGTGTGTGTGTGTGTGTGTGTGTGTGTGTGTGTGTGTGTATGTGTTAATGTATACACACATACACACACAAACAAACATAAACAGATACACACACACACAGATACACACACACACAGATACACACACACACATATACACACACATATTTATATATGCACATATACATATATGTCAATATATATATATATATATATATATATATATATATATATATATATATATATATGTATATATATATATATGAACATATGAATATATGAATATATATATGTATATATATACATATATTACATTTATACTTTACATATATAAATGCATATAAACATATAAATATACAAATATATAAATATATACATACAAAAAAAATATATATGTATATATATATACATATATAAATATATATATATATATACATATATATATATATATATATATATATATATATATATATATATATATATATATATATGTATGTATGTATGTATGTATATGTATATATATATATATATATATATATATGTGTGTGTGTGTGTGTGTGTGTGTGTGTGTGTGTGTGTGTGTGTGTGTGTGTGTGTGTGTGTATGTATATATATATATATATATATATATATATATATATATATATATATATATATATATATATGTATATATATTTATATATATTTATATATATATATATATATATATATATATATATATATATATATATATATATATATATATATATGTATATATATTTATATATATATATATATATATATACATATATATATATATATATATATATATATATATATATATATATATATATATATATATATATATATATACATAATAGATATCTGACAATGTGTAAGAGAGGTATCGTGGTTAGGTCAGTGATAATAAGGGCTAAAAATTACGAGTGAGAGGGGATCTGTGATAGTGCTACATAAGAGAGAAAGATTCGTGAGAAATAATAATTCATCCAAACGTCAAACAAGACCATAAGATTCAATATTGGACCATGGAAAGGTAGACCAGAAAATGCCAGAAAATGTCAACTAGGAATACCTAGGAAGTTCCATTAGCGTGCTAAATAAGTTCTTAAGGTCCCAGTGCTCATCGAGAGTGCCACAGTAGACAGAAACAGCGGTTTAAAAAAATAAGAAAATAATAACAAAATACCGCCCCCCCCCCCCACCCCCGAAAAAGAATACGTTACGAAGTCACTAGACAATTAAAAGCATCACCTGTCCTCATACCCACAGAACGCCGAGTAACAGGGCCAAATCGCACGGGTATTACAGTTTTTCCTCAAGTAGATTGGCTAAGGACCAGCCAAACCGACAGTATGTAAGTACGGTACATCACAAAATCAGCTAGGTTTAAATATGATTATCATAAAGCAACAAATATGGGTCAGCCACTCGACAGAAGAACCGCCAGATAGATTATGCATTAACAGTGTAATTCAAGCGATGGCACCTCAATCGAGTGCCAGACGCTGACCCGCGACCCGTAGTTGCGGTCGGCTGATGGTGCAGGCCGGTAGACTTAACAACTACTACGAAATGCGACACCTCTCCGAAAAACTGCCAGATACAAAATCACCTTTCTAAATTCCTCTGCCCCCAAACCTCATCCTTACCAATTCCAAATATGGGGGCATGTTTGTGCAGGGTATGTGTATACAGTTATATGTATGCATATAGTTATGTGTAAGACTACAATATGTATGTTCCCGTGCTTATACATGAGGGTATACATGTGTATATATACCTAGATATGTATATTTGTGCGTATGTGTATATATTTATATGTGTATGTATATGTATGTGCATTTATGTGTATGTATATGTGTAGGTCAGTTAACAAGTCTATCAGGAAGGGTATGAAGGAGGCAAAGGAAAACTGGATAAACGAACAATGCAAGAATATAGGTGACGACTTCAGGAAAGGAAACAACAAGAGTGTTTTTAGCACACTTAAATAACTGACAAAACCTATGCAGAGCAAGACAACAGCAATCGAATATGAAGATGGAAATCTTCTCACAGAGGAAACAGCAGTCCTCAACAGGTGGACTAAATACTGTACCGAATTGTACAATCATGAGCTTAAACCTGACCTTAGTATTTTAAACAATACAACTACAACTAATAGAGAAATTAACGACTCGCCAATCCTTAAAGACGAAGTCGAAGAGGCAATCCGTAGTCTGAAAAATGGAAGGGGGCGAATCCATCACAATCCATCGTTATCCCTCTTCCAAAGAAAGGAAACACAAGGAAATGCCAGAACCACAGAACCATCAGCCTTATCAGCCACCCCAGTAAAGTCATGCTTCGTATCATCCTAAATCGGCTGAAAGGGAAAACGGAAGAAAACCTTTCCGAAGAACAGGCTGGTTTCAGACCAAAGAGAAGCACAACCGAGCAAATCTTTAATCTCAGGCTACTGATTGAAAAACACCTCCAACACCAATGTACACTGTATCACAATTTTATAGATTACAAAAAAACATTCGATAGAGTGTGGCATGATGGCCTCTGGGGTGTTATGCACAATTATGAAATTGATAATAATATCATTCTCACCATCGAAGCTCTTTACAGGAACTCTAGCAGTGCAGTGTTAATCAACAATAATCTTGGCAGGCCTCTTCAAAACAACTGTAGGAGTTCGACAAGGTAACCTCCTCTCCCCGATTCTCTTTAACATCTTCCTGGAAAACTTCATGCAAAGCAACCTACAAGACCACCACTCCTCAATTTCTGTTGGTGTAAGGCCCATCAGCAACGATATAGACCTAATAGGAGGAACAGAATCTGAACTACAAGAACTGACCTCGAGGCTAGAGAAGAATTCCGCAGGGTACGGTATGGAAATCAGCACGGAGAAGAGCAAAATTCTCACGCACAGCCACGACGTACTTCCAGCTACAAACATCACAATTAATGGACAATTGCTCGAAGAGGTAGAATCATTCAAGTACTTGGGAGCTACAATCACGAAAAGCGCCAACACCACGGTAGAAATAAAATCTAGAATTACGAATGCAACAAACTCAGTAACGTCTGGAATAACAATCAAGTCAGCCTAAAATAGAAGATCAAGCTGTACAGGTCGCTGGTTCTCTCCATTTTGATGTACGGTTGTGAGAGCTGGACTCTGACTAGTGACACTGAGAGAGGGATTCAAGCTTTCGAGAGGAAGTCCTACAGGAAAATCCTGCGAATATTTTATCGTGAAAGGAAGACAAATGAGTATGTCAGAGCAATGGTAGACAGTATTGCAGGCAAGCAAGTATCCCTCCTTAGCATCATTAAGAGACGCAAGCTAAATTGGTTCGGTCACATAACCACGACTCATTGGCAAAGACAATCCTACAAGGTTCGGTTGAGGGAAGACGTAGACAAGAGCGCCCGTAGAAGAGATGGATGGAGAACATCAAGCAATGGTCGGGAAAGGATGCTGCAACCTTGAATCGCCTAGCAGAGGACAGAAAGGAATGGAGAAGCCTCGCCGTGGGTGAACACTAATG